AAGCAAACTGTGGCCTGCACTCCGCTGCCAAAGGGATTGAGAAAAACGCATTAGCAATATCAACTGTGGCATACCACTTGGCTGCCTTTGACTCCAATTCGCATTGAAGTTCTAGCATGTCTGGCACAGCAGCACTCAGCAGTGGCGTGACTTCATTTAGGCCATGATAGTCTACTGTTAGTCTCCACTCTCCATTAGACTTCTGCACTGGCCATATGGGGAAACCATTAACTCTATCCCTGCTGAAACCAGGACAGCCTCTTTAGGGGAAAAATGGCACAGCCAATCACTTACTTAAAGCAAGGAATGTGAGCGAAGACAAGACTAATTAAATAACTAAGAAGTGTTTAGACTTTGTCTTTTGATCAAAGTAATTCCCATTGTATCATTTTGGTTGGATAAAAGCAACTGCATTATATGAGACTTCCAACAATGCTGTTTCACTGGGAGGCCAAGGAAACAACAGAGGATTTAGTTTTTTAATATATCATGTCCAGACTTAGCTGTGTTCTTTCATCTGCATTATCATGAGATATTATTTGCTCGATACTGTCAGAGAATTTAATATAAGCTCTAGACCCAAATATTGAGTATACTTTTTCCTTCCCAGTATGTCTACATAATTTGTATTTAAAAAATAGAGATTTACATACACAGTTTCTGTGACTAAGTCAATATGATTTCAATACTGTGCATCAAGGCAGACAACTTTTTCATGGGTTAAATTACTTTTTTTTTTTTTAAGCTGTAAATAGTTATCTAAAGGCAGTTCTGTATTTATGTTACTTTGAAGACATTGTGTGTTGCTATCTGGGCTAATTTTGCAGAACTGCCTGATGGTGTTGAACTGTGAAAGAGTTTTAGACTACTATTCTTTAAACAGAAAAAGGTTGTTCTGGGAAGCTTCCAAACAAAGTAGTTCCTAAACAGAAAGATGTACAATATAGAATCAAGGAAGTACAGCATCTCCATATGCACAGTCCTCTTCAATAGCAAGATTGTACTCTGCTCCTCTTCCACCTTTATATGCACTTGTCACAATTCTCAGCCACCCTTTTTCACCCTGTAAAGAATTAATTTGTGTTGTGAATTAGAAAACGTAACTACAGAAAATATATGCTATCGAGTCTGTTGTGTCTTCCAAATATGAATGATTTATAAGCAAATCTAGGAATTCACTCAAGATGAAGTGTAACACTGGGTTCAGAGGGCAACCTTATTTAAAGGGGCAATCGGCTTTGGTGAATTGACATCCCCCTCATCTATTCCCAGGTATGTGACTTGATTTTTGCCTACGACTAACAGTAATTCACAGTTGCCCGTAACAGGAGCTGCATGTCCATGGAAGGGTAGCATTTGGGATTGAGTTGACATTACTCAAGTAACTTTGGCTGAGTATCCTTGTCTTCAGATTAGTTAGGTTTCATTTTTTAATTGCTAGTCTAGTTCAAAGGAAGTTTTACTTTTTCTATCCACAGGCTAGCCGTGCAGCTTCCTGTTTGCAAGTGAAAAACCCCACCTTTCCTCTAAAGTCATTCTGCAAACGTGTTTGTTCCCATGTTTCCTTACCCAGGGTTCACCCCATGAGTTACGAACAATCCAGTACTCTGTTCCATTTTCTACACCCCAGCCAGCCACAGATACAATGTGATTCACCGTAGGCAAGGGGTTGTACTCTGTATAAAGCCCTCCAGTGTAAGCATCCAACTTTTCAGTAGCCATTATGCCACAGCTGTAATAAAACAGAGAAAACAAGGGGATGAGGGCAGGGGCCTGGTTTTCTTGCATTTTGACTTCAGAGCTCAGTTTATCTACAAACAACCTAAAGTCTGCGTATTAGTGCAGAGCTGCTATATAACATATGCTAGAGCGGAAAAGTACACTTCAGTCACTGGAATGAGGTTCAAGTATTTCAATCCCAATATTACTAGTAAATAAACATTTTCTTTTTTACCATTCAAGATTTTTTTTTACCTAATTGGTCCATTAGTATAGATTTCCGCCATCATTTTTTCTCTTCCACTGACAGACCCATAGTCAGCAACTTTCCATAGAGTGTAGTTCTTTATCACGTGGCATTCTCCAAAAGTGACGCAAGTTCCACACTGGTTAAACTTCTTACACTCTACAAAACACAGGTGAGATTATCACTGCAAAAGAATGCTTTTCTTCAAGTGAATTAATGATACCACACTACGCTTTTTTTCCTTTTAACTTATTTGAGACAGATATTAATAACTTAATTATTACTAATACATACTCTCTCTGGTGAACTAAATTCCTTTCTGGAAACCACATTTAAAGTCTCTACAATCACTAGTTACTATTCTTTACTTCATAGGCATAAGTGCTTTGATGAGGAAGTGTTTCAGCTGTGCTTCTCTATAGATACAGAAACTATTCCAGTCATACATGACCAGACAAAGGTTACATTTCTCCTCCATTTAGCTTGAGGTGACACTTGTAAATATTTCAGTACATTAGAGATTGTATATCACAGACTTAAGAGATTAAGTTTAAACAATTTAGCTGTGCAAACTTGTCTGGGTATGATTTAATGCTATGCTGTCTGGCTAGAGTAAGACGACACACACAGGCCTGTAAAGAAAACCTGTTCTGTCAGTCAAACAGCAGGTACTACACTGAACCTGAACAGCAGGAACCAGTACACTGAAACCCCCCAAAACTATCTTTTTTTTTTTATGTTAAGATCTGCTAAACCTGGGATGAAGCCTTACAGCAAAGCAAATAGGCATCGTACTTTGATCCTTAGCTTGGTAGTTGTTGCAGGTCTCGTCTGGAATGCCATGGTCATGGGCATACATCCAAACACCTGAGTGGTCGCCACCTTCACAGGATCCTGCGTCAGCACAATCAATCACGTTCTGAACGGAGAGGTAGGCAGAAGGCCATGCACCTTTTCTCTTTATGTTGATTCGATCTGTAAGGATAAGAAATTGGTTTTTGTTAGTGGAATACATGGGTGGTTACGCATTGCAACTAGTGTTAAAACTGTTTCTCCTTCATTGAACCTGTAACTGTTTGCAGGCAACAGTACTTGTGGTTGGAAAAGCCTCTACTGTCGAGAGTGAGGCACACAGCCTGTCGGTTTGAGTTAGGTCATGCTGAGTTGTTATTATTGTGGGTTTCCATTAGAAGTTTTTTCCATTAAAAACTCAGCAAAAATACACAGATGAGTAGGATCTGTTTAAAGCCTTGAAGTGCCCTAGACCTTTTTGAATTCAAGTCACAGCTGCTGAAAACTTCTAGATCCATTTCCTGGCTTTGACAGCAAAGATACACATCATAAAACCAGCTCTCACTAGCCTTTTTTACAGGAGTAAATATTTACGCGTAAATCCATGCAAAGTCGTAAGCCCATGCAGCCCAGGTCTCTGGCTCTGACAGACAGTTGTCACAAAGCAAGGAAAAGCTTTCCGAAGTATATCCTCACTGTTATGTCAACATCTCACTGTTATCCTGCCATCTCAGACAGGCATTGCCACCCTGCTGCCTTATTTTGTCAGAAACAACTAGCTTACTTGGCAAAAAAGCTTCCCAGTAAGTATTTATAAACTGCTTCTCACAGTGCATTAACAGTCTTAACTGATGCCACTGTAGTACTTTTAATCCTATTAGTACTAAAAACATTCAGCTATACGTGACAGAACCGGGAGGCATTATCCCAGCCTAGTCTTCCAGCAACAAGAGAAGGAATGAATGCTTTAACTATTCACAGCAGTTAAGAAAAAATATCCTGATTTTTAAAGTGAACCTTTTATACTTATAAAGATGCACATATTGGTATACCTACGTACACAATAAATTTTAACTGACGTTATATAATTAAGAAGTTGCTTTATTTTATCTGTCCTAGTGCTTCACTACATCATGGCAGGTTTCTTATGTGTCTGTATTCTTGTACTGCTTAAGACCAGATGCTTTGTGATTCCTGCCATCTGCTCACATCTGTGTCGTCTTCCCATTTCTGCACAATTTCTTCTATTTCTCTTTCACAGTCAATCCTCTTGCAGCCTCCCTGTGCAAACAGTACTTCTGCAGCATGTTACTGTTGCATGCGAGTCATCATGTATTCTCTCTAGGGAAAATATTTCTCCAACTGAAGCAACCCCCTACTTCCCTTTTCCCAAGAAAAAGTCTGATGGAAAGACACCTGCTGAAACTAGATTTGTCTGTATGCTGTGGTAGGCAGTTCATTTGAATGACAAGGCTCTTGAAGCTCATACCCCGCGGGCCCTTCCCACGAGAGGCAGCTTCTTTCATTTCCTCATATCTAGGCATCACTGGAGCAGCCACTCGCTGCTGTTAGATGTAGCGCGGCAGGCTGAAGTACCAAAAAAGGGGAGGAGGGACGATAACTGCTTTTGCATCTGCTGCTACCATCACCACGCCTCCAAGAAGAGGGGCAGAAAACCCAGTTCTTGCTCCAGGCCCTAAATAGCAGTGCGGCAGGAGCTATGAATGTATTTCTTCTGCAAACAGCTTTTTAGCCCTCGCACAATTTTGAGAGGGTGGGGACAGCCTCGCTCTGATTGCTTTCTCTCTTGAAACCAAACCTCCTTGCCTTCAGCTGCCAGCTTGGGAATTCCCACTGTTCCTGGTGTATTCACAGGCGGCTCAGCCTCGGTTTTTGCTGCATTACTCACTGCAGTAATTTGGCACCTCTTCTTTATACGAGCTGTTTTGTAAGCTGAAGATAAACTTCCTTTGCTTAACCAAAAACCGTAAATCACTGGGGGCAAGAGCTGGGCGGGTGAGCGGGCAGCGCTCAGCCCTAAGCACAGCGTACCTGCCAAAGCGCTGGTGCTGCCGTGGGCCCAGCAGGACCCGCAGTACTGGGGGATGTGCTGGTTCCGAGTGGTGCTGGCGTAATTGACGCCGTTCACGTTCCTCCAGTCCCAGCTGGCGGGTAGCGCAGAGACGTCCAGGTACTCGTGCGGGCGGGGGTAGGTCCTGTGTCGGGGCAGAAAGAAGAACTAGCTCCCCTGCTGCCCGGGCCTGTATTTTCAGGCAAATGAGGGGGTTTTTTTGTTTGTTTTTTTTTTTT